GCCTTCCCTTCCTCAGGGGAAGCCCCGGGGATACGCGGGGAGTGGGTCCTGTCCCCCCGCTCCCGTCGCTTCCCACGCACGGCCCCGCAGTGACGCGGGTCACCCGGTGCGTGTGTGCGTGAGACTCCTGTTTGCCTTCCTTTTTTAATTAATTTTTTTTTTTAATTATTGTTTTTCAAGACGTTAAAATGTGTGAAACGCCAAATTTAAATTTCTTTCCAGGTCGAGGAGACGGTGGGGCGAAAGCAAGTGAGGGTGGCAGCCGTGGGCAGGCAGGGCCGGCAGGGGAGGGCAGTGGGCAGGGGACAGGGTGGCAGGGGACAGGGTGGCAGCAGGCGAGGAGCTGCCGCCGGGCTCCAGGCGTACCTGGCGCTGGAGCTGCCGGCTCGGTCGTCTTTTCCTGCCTGGGCTCCACCAGGCCACTTATTCCCGGCGCTGGGGCCAGGCTTTGGCCGGCAGCCTCGCCTGAGTTTGCCAAGGGTCCCAAAATACGCGCCAGAGCAGATTGAGGGCGAGCTAGTGCTGGTTTTAGCTGCAAGGCTGCTCCCGGTGTGTGTGAGGGGTGAGCCCAGGGCATGGATACCCCTGCACAGCCCGGATCTGCCCCGTCTCCTGCTCCACAGAGCCAGCTCCGCTGTCAGGGACCGTCCCAACTTTCTGTGCAGACACCCGGCACTACCTTACCCTTCCCAAATGGCTCTGGGTGCGTTTCTGCCGCAGCCGCGGAGCATCCCCCGGGCTGTCAGAGCACAGGCTTCTCCCCTGCACACCCCACCACCCCCGGCTGCTGCTCCCGGGCCCGTCCCAGGCTGCTCGGCTCCATCCCTGCGGGAAGCGGGCACAAACCCTGCCCCGACACCCCGCTCCGGGCCCTGCCCGTGGGTGCCAGCTTCCACTCTGCTTGTTTGTTTGTTTATTTGTTTGTTTGTTTTTCAGTCGACGCGAATCTGTTTATAAAATTGACTCATGGCCCTTTGAAACAAATTGTTATTAACCTTCCCCTTCTGAGCGTTTCATAATCACAGATGTTAGTTTGGAGATGATATCCAAACATCCCAGGGGTACTTTTGATAGCTGCATGGGCGGGGATTGAATGTGGCGGTCGGATATTAAATCAGCGGGATACAGAATTACTTTTTTTTTTTTTTTTTTTCCCTCCACAAACCCGAGCTAGCTAAATAGTTTCCCCCTCTAACTCCGATATGCATTTCACAATCAATGGCGCGGGCATTTGCATGGTGCCTGGGTGTGGGTTTGTACAATCCATGTGCCACATCCTGCGTTAGCAGGGAGCGGAGGAACACCTTCGCTAAACCTCCGTGCTCAGATGCTCACTGAGCAGAGTTACGGGGAAAATACGCTTAATTAATTACACGGAGGGGCTGGCTGGCGCGGGCAAGTGCAGATGTATTTTTGTTCGGCCCTCAAATACTTTCCTGGGTTGGTTGTTTCGTTTGATTAGTTAGTTTGGTTTTTTTCCCCTTTTTATATGATTTTTTTTTTTAACTGAACTCCGCTGCCCTGGCTGGAGGGAAAGGAGCCTGCCCCGCTAGATGGGGGAGGGAAATCTCAGGCAGAGCTGCCTGCCAGGATAAAAACGCTGCCAGCCGTGTGACTCCAGGGCCAGTCCTGCCCCTGCCCTTGCCCCGGAGCAGCCGGATTTTGGGGGAGGCTGTGGCCCGGCTTCGGGGCCGTTGTGGGTTGGGATTCTGCCTTTTCCAAAACAAAAAAGGCTGCTTCAGAAAGGGCTTGTTGCTTCGCTAAAATTGCAAAAGGAGCTTGCGCGGCAGCCCCTCCTGTTCAAATAATTTGACATTTTAAATTATCGAGGGCTAATTCAGCTGTGCGGTGCTTCCCGAGCCGGCGGGGAGCCCTGCCCGGGCGTGGGAGCGCGTTCTGGACGGAGCTCGGGGAGCAGCGGAGCGAGTCCCTCCGAACCTGCAACTCCCCAAAATATCGGAGGCAGGTGAGAAGTGCGGCCCGAGTGAGGAACCCGCTGCTCCCACTGAAGGCACGGCTTACCAATGGCAAATAGTTTCTGTTCTGGCCTGGATAAAATCCAAACAGCAGCCAAATAGTGTCTGTCCTTGCTCCACAGACTGGACTAGCTCGGAGAAGTTTCACTACTAATTTTTTTTTAACCCAAAACTACATATTCCTGCTGGTGTCACACATCTGTTTTCTGTTCCCAGCTTTTCTTAGCAAGCTGGGTGAGGACAGGTGGAAGCTCCACTTCTGCCTGCACTCTTAGGAGCAGGGCCAATTTTTCCCCCACTGCAGGTTTAGTGACTTCCTAAAAAAATACAAATAATATCTCCATGGGACTCAGCCACGCTCGTGTAACACACCCACGGTGCCATTTTGTACAGTCGGACAACGGAAGCTATTTTTCAAACCAGATTTAAAACTCTTCTTAAGCGCTCACTGCCATCGATTTTCTCCCAAGGGATTATAAATCACCTGCCTCCATTAATGGAGGTGACAAAAAAAGAAAGAAATAAATATATATGTCAAAAGCACGCAAACCAGAGAGGCTGGGGAAATAAAACAAGATGGGAAGCAGGAGCCCACAGTATCCTGGCAGCATCCCCGCACTCAGCCCTGCTCCCAGGTCCTCCGGGCAGGTGAAGCCCTTGCTGCACTGTCCCAGCGGCAGCTCCACTCCTGCAGAATTTTTCCCCTTGCAGAATTTATCCCAAAGTAGCAGCTTGAGAAAAATAAAGTACAAAATGAAATTTTAAATACACTTGCCCCTCGCTCCCCCCACCCCCCATTCTCCTTGGTTTTGTCTGGGAGCGTGTCCCCTGCAGCAGGAGCGACCCTGAGGGTGAGTGAGGCTCTGCCCTTCCTCCCTCTCCTGCCTGCCGAAAGCTATTTCGGAGCTCTTGTGCCCTTTGTCGCAGCAAGGCGGATGATCGTTTTATTTTTGTCCAGCCTGTCCTAAAATCGTGGTCCTGTCACTTCCCGGGGCTGCCAAGTGTTTTACAGGGTGCCTGGTTTCGTGGCGTGGCATCGGCAATATTCCATCCCCTCTTCCCGAGCTCCAGGGTTACGTGTTTTCCTAGCAGAGCTTTTCCAAACGCAGCCTGTCAGAGCATCGCACACCACCGGGTATTTAAAGTCTTGAAAAGGTGAAACCTGTTGACATTACGTGAGATTAAAGAGATTTTCCTTTCCGTTTTCAGCTCCTTTCGAGCGGGAGGAGGAGTGCCCGAGAGGGGCTCGCTGCCGGCTCGCGTTCGTGCTCTCCTTCAGCCTAGGAATGAATCCCCCAAAGTTTCCTCATTAAGTCAAAAAGCCGATGAAACGCCTGGCTGCAAAACCACCTCTCTCATAAATCGCCGCGGATTTTACCCCCCCACACGCCCCTGTGAAGAATTAAAACTACGACATACTTCTAATTCCAGCTCCAACGCTCAGAAGTGCAGTCTGAAGGCTGTATGAACATTTTGGGATACATATTCCCGAATAGCTCCATTGCAACGTCTGAGTGACACGGGTTGGATTTCGTAATAAAGTGGGTTCTTTGCTTGGGTTTTTTTTAATTATTATTATTTAATGCAGTCCTCGAGAATCGAAACACACAAAATGCAGCGAGAATGTTCACAATGTTGAGAACACAGTTGTAAATAGAAACATTCATATTTCATCCGATTATAAATATTTGATACTGCAATTGTAAAATGCACATGTTTTATAAAGTGGAGAGAAGAAAAAAAAATCCTTTGCTTTTTTGCTAAAAGGCGAAGTCATTTAATCCTGGCCCCTAAGCAGCTGATGGTTATTCACAGAATTTAAAATTACAGTTTTTATTTTATAGCTGGATTCTTTCCTTCCTTTTTTTTTTTTCATTTTTTCCCCTCCTTTTTTAAATGTTATACTACTATGTACAGTGTGTATCTATTAGAGCTGCAAAATAAAGAGGTTTTAAGGCAAAGCGAGAAGTTTTTTTCCCCCCCAGCACAAACAGCATCGCAGGAGAATCCGTTCCTGAGCAGCCGCCCACGCACACCCAGCCCCAGGCGGGACAAATCCCCCTCCGGAGCGGGGACAGGGACCCCACGCTCCGGGACAAACGGGACCCCCAAAAACTCCGATTTCAGGGAGGTGTGTGCGTGGGGAAGGGGGGTGTGGGGAGAAACACCCACCCACGGAGCGTGGCGCTGGCGGGGACCGCGCTGCGGAGGGGAAGGAACAACAAAAAAATGGGATTTTGGGGGGAAAGGGTGGGGGGCTAAAACGCTCCCAAATGTTTCGGGGAGGTGATGCCGGAGCGGAGCCGGGTCCCATCCCTCGGCTGCCCTCCGCGGAGGGACGGCGGGGCCGGGAGGGAGCAGCATCCCGCTTTTGGGAGATGGGGTTCCCCAAGTTATCCCGAGGAGCTGGAAGGGGAGGGGGGTGCTAACCCCATCCCTGCCCAGCATCCACGCCTGCATTCCGCATCCACGGGCGCCCGTGGCTCTCGTTGGCGGTGATGAAGGAGCAGAGGAGGATCAGGGAAGGAGCCCGGGCTTGTTTCAAGACGGTGCTCCGAGATTTGTTTCCCTAACGTTGCTTATATCTTTTCTTTCCTTTAAAATTAAATTCTCCTCGTCTATCCCCAAAATCAGCCCCAGACACCCCAACTCCAAAAAAAAAAAAAAAATTACAAAAACACTAGACTCCCCCAAAAAAACCACCCAAAAAAGAAAAAAGAAAAAAAAGGGGGGAAAAAAACAAAAGAAAAGGTGAGGGGTGGGGTGAAAAAAAAAAGTTAAAACTCATAGAACAAATAGGAGAACTATTTATTCGGTTCACAGTCGTGTGAAATGCAGCAATAAAAATCTTTGGACTTCAGCAAAAGTTGTTTTTAATTTTTTTTTTTTGAATTTCAAAAAACAGCGTCCAATGTCCATTAAAACTGCGCTTAAGTCTATAAAAAGTAACTTAAGCTTTAAAAAAAAAATCTTAAAGATAGCATCTAAAACTTCATACAACCAAAAAAAAGCCCTTTCCCTTGGCTATTCACTGTCCGACTTGCCGTCTTTCGCCGTGGTGGAGTGGTTGTAGAGCCCCTGGGCCATGAGGTGCACTGCCAGGGAGTTCTTACTGCCCGTCGCCTTCTTGATCTTGGCTCGTTTGTTCTGGAACCAGATTTTGATCTGGGACTCGTTGAGCCCGAGCTCCTGGGCCAGGCTCTGCCGCCGCTGCCAAAACCAAAACCAACCAACCAACAAAAAAAAATATTTTATAATCAGATATCTTGGATTTTTACACCACCTTACCTGTAAATTATATATACATAGAATATTGCAGAATTATATCTAATACACAATATTTTCACTATTAATGCTGGTATAATCTTTATACACTGGCCCTTACGTTTCTTTTTTATTTTTTCAATTAAATTATTGCATTGTATAAACTTGTCAGGTACCGGTTCGTCTGGAACTCGGCCTTGAGTCTCTGCAGCTGCTCGGCGGTGAAGGCGGTGCGAGGCCGCTTGTCCTCCTTGTTGGGGTTCTTCTTCTTTGGTTTGCGGGAGCGGGGACCTACGGCCGGGAGAGAGGAGAAGCACCGACACCGCCGCGCTCCGCTGCGGGCACGGCTCCGGCCCCTCGAGGGAGAGGAGCCCGCGTTGTGCCTCCGCTGCCCGGGATGCTCGGGGGGCGGCGGAACGGGAGCCGCAGCCCCCGGGCCCCCCTCCGCTCCTCCGCTCCCCCGGCCCCTTCCTCCCCAGCCAGAAACGCAGCTCCCGAGCCTCTGTGTCCCGGGAGTGCCCGGCAAGCAGGGGCAGAGGCACGGAGCTCCATTTTATACCCTGAACACAATTTTTATTTTTTCCTAAGAAAACCCCTATACATTTTTCACTTTTTTTTTTTTTTTTTTTTTTTTTTTTTTTTTTTTGTGGCGAGTCGCGACAAAAATGATAATGGAAATCCTCTTGCAGTTTACTTGGCCAGAAGCGTTCCCCCTCTCCGCTGCAGTGCCCATATGGCGCTGCACGGCCCGATCCCAATCGCCGGGATTATTCTCGGGAATATTATTCTCGGCAGCACAAGGAGCCTTTTCTGCCCGGGCCGAGCCATTGTGAGGATGTATGTTAATTAAATATTAACAAAGGAGAGCACTGGAGAACAATGGAGTAAATTCCAATTCAGCTCTGAATATTACCTCTGAGTAAGAGTTTGTTTTCAGATATTACCAACTAATTTTCCTCTCGTTTTACGATCCCTTCCTCAGCCAGCCGACTCCCGGGTGAAAATCCTACCTCGCCGCTTTTGTAAGAGAAAGACCCATATTTTTTTTTCTTTTCCCCGGGAGCAGATCTGCCTGACGTTTCCCATGCCTTCCTCCAGTGTTTTCTACTTGTTTTTAACCGGGATTTTACCGATGTGCCGGAGCCGGCGCTCCTGTCCCCGCGGTAGCGAAAGGACATTTTACCCCCCTCTTGTTATTTTAATTTTTTTTCCATTTTAATTTTTTTTAAGATAATTTCAGGACGTTCTGCCTAAGCCCTTGCCAAGGGACGGACTCTGCCAAAGAAGTTTCCCGGCTCTTGGAAATGTCCTCCGGCCCCCACAGAGCTGACCTACAGCATATGGGGGGAAATTAAAAGAAAGAAAAGGAACGGCGGCGGCTCGGAGGCCTCTTTTAGAGAAATAAACGATCGCGGATTGTTTTTTGCCAAAAAGACTAATCAAAACAAGGCGAGGCCTATGGAAATGCCACCTCCCCTTCCCAAAACCCAGCTCAGGGGGGGTTTCCCGGCAGGGAGAAGGAGAGCTCGCCGGGAGGATGAGCGGGGAGCCCGAAGACAGTTTGTTTTTTCCTCGCTCTTTGATAAAACTCGCCAGTTGGTGGGAAATGCCCCGAGCCCGGGCGGCCTCAGCTCCGCCGCGGCAGCGGGGACAGAGCGAGGGACCCCCGCTCCCTCCTCGTCCCTGCGGCTCCGGCCCTTCATCCTCCAGCATTTCAGGCCGTTTTTAACAACTCGCCCCCCCGCCAAAAAAAAAACAAAAAAACAAAACAAAACAAAAAAAAAAAACAAAACAACAAAAAAACCAAAACAACAAAAAGCAAAACTCAAACAGAAAAAAAAATAACCAGAAGACGGAGAGGGAAAGGGGAGCGGGTTTTTTTCCCCGCCGCTTCCCGGCCTCGCTGGCGGCGGCGGCTCCGGGAGCCCGGGGAAGGGAAGGGAAGGGGCTGCGGCCGCGGGGAGCGGGGCCGCGCTTACCTGAGGAGGGCCGGTCCGAGTACCGCGTGCAGTACACCCAGGCGGGCCACAGCATGGGCTGGTTCCCGGCGTTGGAGCTGGCCTGGGAGCTATCCGAGTCCGAGCTCACCGACAGGTCGCCGCCGCTCAGCCCCCGCGCCTTCAGGGCCGCCTCCAGCGCCGCGGGGTCCCCCCCCTTCTTGGCGGCGCCGTGCAGGGCCAGCCCGGCGGGGCCGCCCTCCCCCCGGCCCGGCGAGCGGCGGCTCTCCGCGCCGGGCCGCCGGGGCTCTCCGTCGGGGCCGCCCGCCTCCTTCCTCCGCCCGAACTCGGGCCGCAGGATGTTGTCGATGAAGAAGTTGGTGATGCGGTGCGGGTGCGGGTGCGGGTGCGGGGGGTCACCGGGGGGGAGCAGCAGTCCCCGCCGCCCGCCGCCGCCGCCGGGCTCCGCGTCGCCGCCGGACTCCTGCGGCTCGGCCGCCTCCTCCCGGGGGCTCCGGCCGCCCTCCTCCATGCCGCCCCGCCGACGGCTCCGCTGCCCGCCCGCCGCCGACCGGGCGCTGCCGAGCGCTGTCTGTTGTTGCTGCTGCAGTCGGTTGTTCTTTATTTTAATTTTTTAATATATATATTTATATATATATATTAAAATTAAGAGCAATTAAAAAAAAAAAAAAAAAAGACAAATGCAGCAAGCCAGCAGCCGAGCCTGCACCACTTCCAACTTTGACAAAAAATGAAAACACAGGGGCTCCGGTCCTCCCGCCGCCGCTCGCCGCTTCCCTCCGCCGCTCAGCCGCTCGGTCCCGCGGCGCGCTGCCGCCTGCTGCCCCGGCCGCCGCCGCCGCGCCTCATCCGCGGAGGAAAAATTAGTGATAATAAAAATAATAATAATTGGGGAGCGCAGGAGAGGGTGGGGTGGTGGGGTGGTGGGTACGCCCCGGCGGCCGCCGCCGCCGCGCCCGGGCACTTCCACTCGGGTTGTTGTCCTTTAGGTTTTAACGGGGCCCCCGCCGCTGACGTCGCCGGCCCGGGCGCTCCGACACGTGCCTCGGGCCAATGGAAGGCCCGGCGAGCGCACACGTGGTGCGGGGCGCCCCGGTAAGTGACAGCGCCCACGCCCCTCCCCCGGACGGGCCCGGCACGGCTCGGCACGGCACGGCCCTGCCCGGCCCTGCCGCCGCGGGTGCCCCGCCGCGGGGAGCGCACCGCCCGCCGGTGCCCCCCGCCCCTGGCCGGCCGGGAGTTACCGCGGGTTTAATTGTCCCGGTGTTTACCGGGGAGGGGGCCGGCATCCCACAATTCCTTGCAGAAACGCATAAATAATATTAAGCGAGCGGCGGCGATACAAAGGGGTCCGGGGGGGGCGGAACAGGCCCGGCCCGGTGCCCGCGGGCTGCTCGGGGGTTGCGTCCCCTCCCCGCAGCGCGGTTCGGCGCTAATTGACTCGTCCTGCCCGCAGCCGGACAGCAGCTTTTGATCGGCCCTGACCGCTCCCCAAACGGCAGCGCTGCCCCCCAAAACGCCGGCCCGTCACCCTCTGGACCCCGCAAAAGCCCGTGCCTCTTTGGGACGGGAAAGCTGCCGCAGCCGCTTTGCTTGTGTTTAGGGAGAAACACCCCGGAACAAAATTAGGGAGCAAGGTGCGACTGGATGGAAAGGCTGGGGGGCTGAACAGGTTGCAGGGTTGGGATCCTGCGTGGGGAGAACGAGAGGGGAGCGAGAAGGCGGGGGCGAGTCCTCGCCCCGCAGCCGAGCCGAGATCCGGTCCGGGCCCGCTCGGTGCCGCCCGACGGGGCGCACCCCGAGGGGCCGGGCAGGGTGGGGACGGGGTGGCTCGGCCCCGGTGTCCGCCGCACCCCGGCCGCCCGCTCTCCCCCTCAGTGACGTTTTTCTTTGGAGGTGGCTTCCCTGCGGTGGCACGCATCACTCGCCACCTTGAAGGAAAGGGACAGCGAGCCTTTCCTTTCCTCTCCTCTTCTTCTTTTCCTTTTTATTTCCTCTTTCTTTCCCATTTTGCTTTTCTTTTTTTCTTATGCTTTTTTCTTTCCCGTTTTCTTTTCCTTTATTCTTTAATTTGTGTTTAATTTTAAATTCATCTCCCTATTTTCTTTGTATTTCGCAGCGGGTCGGGTTCACCAGAGAAGACCAGCAGTGGCTGATCCAAAGTTGTTTTGCTCAAACAAGCACCCAGAGGTTAATTTCTCCAAGAGCCCCATGAAAAGCGATTAGCCTGTCTCCCAAGAAGTATTTTCTAATTACTTGGAAGCTCTCGCTTTACTACTACCCCATAATTAAACGTGTTCAAGGTGCTGCACTTCAAATATTTCGCTCCCGGGCGGACCCAAGTTACCGATAAAAACTTTAAACCTCCTTGAACCCCTTGTTACCTGCCCGCTCGCTGCCGGTACAGCGTTAACCTTCCCATTCGTTATCCCGCTCCTTCGCCGGGATATTTCTAACCTGTACAGGACAGGGGGGAGAATTCCTGAGGTAAACTCCGAAGTAGGAGATAAACAAAGCTGTACAAAACAATTACTGCATCTGCCTGTCCTCTGACAATAATCCAGCACCTCAGGTATGCAGAGGCAGCGGGGGGGCGGCGAGGGGTGAAGGAGTGATCTGATACCGAACCGAAGAAATCTGAACGGTCTATTTTTTTTTTTTCCCCCTCCCAAGGTTATTTTTATCTGGGAGCTCAATCTCTGTAGAAACATTCCCCAGCAGCACTATTGCTCGCCGGTCCGCAGTCGCCTCGCAAGCGGCACCGCAGCGTGCGGGGGCTTTTCCTCGGGAACCACTGCGGGTCACCGGGAGAGGTGGCTTGAAAATGGGAGCTTGGCTTCGTTTCCTTCTTCGCTTCAGCCTCCCCTCGCAGACCTAGTGCCTGCAAATGTCACCTGTCCCTACACCAGCAATATTTTTTTCCTTACGCTCTCCGCGTAGTTCCAACGAGGCTCATTCCCTGCTGCCACCCTTTTAAAAATTTATGTTTTCCCTCTCTCAAATAGGTGAGTGTGAGGGTTCAGCGGAACCCCCACACCCTGCCCTTTGCTCGGCGCTTTTGGCACGGAGAACTTTAGAAACGGGATGAGAGCCCGGGAGCTCGGGAAGGAGGGAGGGAGATTGCGGCCGACCCCCGCCCGCAGGCTCCGCGGCCGGGCCGGGCTGCAGGCAGGCTCCTGCGCTGTTCGTGCCGCTCCTCCGAGCCAACCCTCCTTCCAGCATTTCCCCACACTCGGGAAAAAGGAAACCAAACCAAAACAACAAACCCCGAGGTGCTGAGAAGCCAAAACGCCCGGAGCAATAGTGAAAGCCAAGGGAGGTGCTGCACCTCCCGCTCTCCCGGTGTGAAATGACTGCCTGAAAAACGCAGGCATGCACCAAATTTCGCGATTCCCCATTTCCAGGCAGTCCCTGCCCGTGCCGCCGGGGGAGGTCTGGCAGCGACGCTTCCCCGTGGGCACAGCCTGGGCACATGGCCGCGACCCCGGCGGCCCCCGTGTGCCTCCCGCTCGCACCCGGCATCACTTTTATTTCCAAGCGAAGCCTTTCAGGCAGCTTTGCCAGCGCCTTGGAGCTGCTGGCGGAGGATAGAGGAGAGGGGAGAGGTCGCTGCTCCTTTGCCAGGCTGGCCGTGCCGCAGGCGGTGTGCCCGGCGCTGCCCGGCCTTCCCTGGGTTCTGCCATCAATTTTGGAAGGGGAAAACCAGCAGCAACCCCCGCCTAGCCCTGGGCAGGCTTTCCTGGAGCCGGCGGGCCGGGAGACCTCAGCCAGCACGGCCGCATTTCCCCAGTGCAGCCGGGTTCTCGCTGCTCCGCCGCCAAGCACAAGAATGAAACCCGTGGAGCCTCCGGATTTCCCCAATTCCCCCCGTGCCAGGCGGGATGAAGGGCGCTCTGCGGCCGCCGGGGTCCCACCCCGCAGGGTCCCACCGGCATCGCCCATCCCTCCGCTTCCAGCGGGAATACTTTCCCATCAACGGGGGCAAAGCGACGGGTTGGAAACCCTGGCTTCCACTTTCTTGCAAGATCATGAAAATTTCATGAGCTGCTCGTGGCGAGGGCAGAGCCCGCCGCTGCCGCGCCCGGCCCGGCCCCGACGGGGAACGGGCGAGGGCACGGAGGATGCTCGAGAGGGAGCGGATGAGGGGCAATGTCAGAGCTTTGGCTCGGGAAAGCGGCGCTCGGTCACGGCGGCCGTTCGCAGCAAGGAGTGACAGGGAGCAGCCGCCCCCGCCGCCGCCCCTTCCCACGGGAGGGAGGGTGCGCGGGTGGGGTGGGAGTGCCGGCCCCGGCTCGCCCTGCCCCTGGCCCGGCCCTGCCCCTGCCTCGCCCTGCCCCTGGCCCTGTCCTCTCGCTGCCCCGTCCTTGCCCTGCCCTCCCCCGGCCCCTCTTCTTGCCCTGCCCCTGCCCACGAGGAGCAGCCCCCTCCCCTCCCGCCCGCCGGCTGGGACTGGGGACAGCCTTCCGGGCCCCATCGAAAACTGTCAAACAACAATAATAAAAGCCTCAAATTCGGTTAAAGTTAGGTAGAAAGTGAGGGTAAACAACAGCCCAGTGCACAACAATACGGTGGTCGGCGAGAGAAGAGAAGAGAAGAGAAGAGAAGAGAAGAGAAGAGAAGAGAAGAGAAGAGAAGAGAAGAGAAGAGAAAGAGTGTAAAGAGAAGAGAAGAGAAGAGAAGAGAAGAGAAGAGAAGAGAAGAGAAGGAGAAAAAGAGAAAAAGAGAAAAAAAAAAGCCCTTTCGGTTTCCCAGGGTGGAGGCAATGTTCGCTGCTGCGTGGCTGGACCCCCACAGCCCTCTGATCTGGTCCGGCTACCGGAGGCAGAGAGGCCCCGTCAGGACGCTGAGTGACACTGGGTTTCCGTTCCCTACCCGGAGTGCCTGGACTTTGTTTTGCCGAGCCGTTCTTTAAAAACCCACCCGCCCGAAGCATGACCAGGGATAAAACTATCTGTCGCTGCGGGAAAGTTTTTGGCCTGTGCAAAAAAAAAAAAAAAAAAAAAAAAAAAGTTCGTGATTCCTTGTTAAAAAAAAATATAAATAATTAAAATAGGTTAAATAATAAAGCTGGGAGCTAAACCTTTTGCCTGTGTCTTTTAGTTACACCCACAGCATTTTCTAAAGAAGCAGAAAACCGGCCCCAGTTTCTGTTCCCGGCAGCTGGGTGGGACATGGCCGGCACAGCCCGACCCAGAACCCGCCGGGGGATGCTCGGGCTGTGGCTGTGGTTCTGTCCCGGGCAGGGCTCACGGTCCCCGGCTGCCAAGGGCATCCGGCGCCTCTCCGGAGCGGATCCGCGGGGCCACGGCCGGGATGGCCGTTCGCTCGCTCATCCGCAGCTGTGGAGGCAGAAAAGCTTCAAAGAAGTACAAAATGATTTCCCTGAAACCATTTTTATTTAATCTTAGCAAGACGATGCGTCCGCCCGTCTCTCACACACCCGCTCGGTACCGGAGCTTACACGAGCGTGCACAATCGCGGATGTCGCGACAGAGGAACGCTTCCCCGCGACTCGGAGGAGTTAAT